CCTACCCCTTGTCTTCCTTTTCGGAACTGGGCAGGATAATTTTAGTGGTGTCAGCACATCCACGTCTTAGGCCACTACAGATTTATTGTTGAAGGTTTTGGTCAGTCAGTGAGCAAGAAGCAACCATCAGGTGCCGGGTTATAAGACCGAAAGACTTATTGCCACTGCAGGAAACGGATGGAATCATTTACCTGATCTGGCACAGTTTTGGACAAAGAAACTACGTCGGAGAAACCGGGAGATTACTCCAGACGCGAATGGCCGAACATGTAGCGGCGGTGAGGAAGAAAGACGCTAACTCCCAGGTTGAAGCTCACTCGACGGGACCCGGCCATATTTTTAGGTTTAGCGAGGCCGAAATCCTCGGAAGAGGTGACAACCGCGTGAGCCTGGAGCAGCTCGAGTCATGGTTCTCAGGCCCCCATTCCATCAACAAGCGCAAGTATGTGGCGTCCCCCTGCCGCGAAGTGAGATTACCTGAGCAAGAGAATCACTCACGTGCTAGGAGCCGGACCTAGCAACAACTCCGCCGACGGCAAACATAATTGTAGCACAATTATCAAGCCCCTATCCAACACGGACAAGGAAATCGCGGCAATTATGATTTGAAGGCGAAGTAACTAGCCGTCACCTCACCATTTAAGACCCCCAGAGGGGACTACAGGTAGCTACGCACGCGGTTGACCGCTACTAACTATAAATACCGTGCAATCTGGGCATGTTTCACCCCTATCTGCGCATCGCTTAGACTATCCTATCATTACCTGTGAGTCATTATCAGTCAGCGTATTTGGAGTAAATGCCCGAAGTCTTTGAAAACTCCATTGAAACGGTACAGTAATGCATAAAGTGTCGTGAAACATATGTGTTACAGATCGCTTTTGCTATGCAGTAAGGATTAAGGATTACAGATTCCCGAGAGAATCTGAAACGTCAGGAAAATAAATGTTTTGTTCCTGAAGTGTTTCGCCTGTTGCGATGCTCAAACTACCATCATATGTACAATGGACTCACCTACTGCCAACGGCAACCCGAATATTAGGTATGGGTTTAAGCCCTGGCCGAGCGAAAGCAGGTTCCGATAAACTAATAGAAACCACCCATCTTTTTCTGGCTACCGGACTAAACGTGATTCTTTAGAAATCGCTATGCCTATATTTCGGATCGTAACTGCTGGTAAATTAACACTCACAGCCAATGATCCCGTATCCATCATTTTGGTGGGCACCGTTGCTGAAATTGGAAGGCATATAGGCGTTAATTATTCGCAGACTGTCCTCGCAGTTAACGTTTTATTTTCAGTTTCTAACCCAATCGAAGAGCGGCAAGAGACAATGCAAGGCTAAATGCAAACTATCAGCCGCAATTTGCCTTATCAAGGTGACAGCTCAACCCCAGAGGACGTTCAAAAAGGGCTCACATCAGTAGATTAATGATAATGAACGAATATTCTCCTGGACAAACCTTGAAGGTAGAAGTAAGCAGAGTGATCGGAATAATATTGCAAAACATCAGGAGCCAAAGGAGGTAGAAGTATCGACATCGTAAAACTTGCTTCGGCCCAAGTTCCATGATCCTGCAATGAGAGGAAGTGAACACTTAGGCCTGCATTCAAATTGCATATCTGGCGAAGTTTGAATGAACAGTGGGACTAACCCCATTGACCCAAAATCCTCAGGATTTTCACTGTCGTATAGTAAGTCGCTGGTCTTTTTGAATTCGATGCTAGAAGGTTAAGAGTTAGCCTTTAGCACGCATGTCTACTGTTCATACGTTGAAACAAATGGCTCACAAGAGAAAACTATACCGGTTTTCCTAAACCTTCTCAAATCCGTAACTCAGGAGACCAGCTAAAGAGGCATGCAATATTGACAAACAAAGAGAATTAGATTTTGGCCCAAATTGAGCAATTTTAAACATCGAGAGAGCATTTCAACTGCTTCCTCTCTTTGTATGAATAACGTAAGAACTGGAGAACACAGCATTTTGAATTTTTAATGTATCAAGGCCATTTTAACGCGGCGAATGATCAGTAGTAATCTGAGTTTTAATGATATTTGCTCCAGTGACACCCTACGTACAAAGGTTGTCTCCATAAAAGAGGCCCTACTTAAACGCCGCCATCCCCTACGTTTTATATAAGAAAAGAGCTGCCCTTTATGGCCTAAATCTACGGACCAGTCGGTTCCGAAGAAGCCCGTTTTTATATTTTTATCCTTTAAGATAGACAATATTTCAAATACAGTTAAGCGACGGCTACGTTGTTCCATAAAGGGAAGTTAATATGCAGCTGAACTGGTGTACTTCAATGCAACTAAAAGCTCTCCATTTAACAGGTCAAACGAAGCCTTGTCTTTGCACGCCGCCTCAAACTGTATATATGAATTCACGTGCACTTGCGGATGCAAGTACATTTGCGGTACGCAAAGGCAATTGGCGAACAGGGTTGCTTAAACTTTGCTTGCTTGGATTTTAAAACAAAAACAGAGTGCCAGGGTCAACCATTACAAAACGCTTGATAGATAGTGGTCACTCTTTTGAAATCAACACATCTTTCTGGGTTCTTTTCGAACACGAACAAATCAACCCTTGCGATATACGGAAGCAGCCTGTATACGGCGGAAGAACCCCGGCCTATGTAAGCAATTGGACCATTTGGTTAATCCCCAACTGCCCCGGTAAATGCATGCCATATTCAATCAACAGTTTATTCTTGTTGATTCCCGTCCCTACTTTAATTCCTAAAGTTTAAAGGGGACATTACTATTGACCATTCGCCGCGTAAAAAGACCTTACTATTTTTGAATATGTGAAAATTCAAAATGCAGTGTTCTCCAAATGTTATCTTACTCATGCAAAGGAAGGAAGCAGTTGACAAGATCTCCCGAAATTTATTTGTATAAATAAAGTCTGCCGTTTTCACTGGCTTCAATTGTAAATAGTTATAATTTCAGGTTTTTAATTTTCTCCAAGATTAATTTCTATCTGAGAGTAGATCAGTATATGCAAGAGTCTACAGGTGTAGACCGCAAATGGCTAGGAATAGCTGGAGCATCTACCAGAAGGCACACAGGGAATGCTGGGGGACCCATTGACGAGCCGAAACCCTCGCAGCTGGGCCAGATTTTTAAATAAGCACGTAACCAATTATAAGTACAAAAATGTACTCAGAACCAGTCTAGCTTCTTGCATCAACTACTCAAGGTTGTAGTTGTTCTTTACCCTCTCCATTCGCCGGTTCGGCATTGGGCTTGATCGCAGCTGCTGGCTACGTTCCAGGTGATTAACCAAGTTCAGAAGGAGAAGCCGCAACCACTGGAACAGAAAGCTTATCTGCCTTAAGTTTCGGATGCTCACTCAGATTCCTCATCAGGGAGGATCGTAGATGAGTGTTTTTAGTGGCCGCATACGTACTATAATTAACGCTTCGTTTTTTTTAGCAAAGTTCTATTCAGTTTACCTGGGTTCAGTTTCGTGGCAAGACTGTGGTCCATTTATAGAAACTGGAAAGGAATATCCTCAAGGGATCGCATTGGTTAGGTATCTCTTCAAATACAGACCTTCTTTTAACAGGCTTGCAAAATGTCATATAGCGTAAAACCCTGAATGGAAATGGTGTCTGCTTTTCTCCATCTGACAACTGGGTGATTTTGGGCTGAACATAACACATTTGTGTATGGGGTCAGAAGGCTCAAAACAATTTCAGAGAAACACAAAACTTACGAGGATGGAGTCTCTAAGCTGAGTTTCGTCGCAGCACTGTCCTCCTTCTCATCTATCTCCAGCTTCTGTAAAAGAAATGGACTTTTTTCAATATATACTTAATCTGACACTTAGTAGACTGTAGTGTTTACATTTACTTCCATGCCTCTGACTATAGCAGTTTCAGAGGTTCCTAAACCTGGGCTGCTTCAAGGCCGATTTATGTAGAACAGCTGGTTATTGTAGGCAACCACATTGTTTCTCCACAGAAGTCCCAGATGTATGTGGTCTCATTTATAAACAGACGTCGAGAAGATAGGCACTTCACGTTTGCGCATTTCTAGTAACGTAGTTGCTCTTGTTAAGGAATTGTTCTAAACCGGTACCACTGTTGGCCCCAGCCGTTGTACATATTTGATGTCTGCCATCTCGGCCTTCGCACACGGGATCCATATTCCGTAATCGGGTGGATGAACGTGACCATGAGCATCCGGAACATCTGTATGGTCCAAGACGTGGAAGGTCTTCTAAACATCCAGAGTAGAGCCAGACCCTTTCTTCTTGCTTAAGTTGATTGCTCTCGTGTTTTAAGGTCGTCTTTTATGATAA